ATTCACTCGACTACTAAGTCGACGGGCTACTTTTATTTCGAGTTCGAGCAAGCACTCACTCGACCATTACACCTACGGGCTACATTACTTTGAGTTCGAATCATTCACTCGACTACTAAGCCTATGCGCTACTTTTATTTTGAGTTCGAGTAAGCACTCACTCGACCATTACGCCTACGGGCTACATTACATCGAGTTCGAATCATTCACTCGACTACTAAGCCTACAGGCTACTTTTATTTCGAGTTCGAGCAAGCGCTCACTAGACCATTATGCCTACGGGCTACGTTACTTCGATTTCGAATCATTTACGCGACTACTAAGCCTACGGGCTACTTTTATTTCGAGTTCGAGCAAGCACTCACTCGACCATTACACCTACGGGATACATTACTTCGAGTTCGAATCATTCACTCGACTACTAAGCCTACGGGCTACTTTTATTTCGAGTTCGAGTAAGCACTCACTCGACCATTACGCCTACAGGCTACATTACTTCAAGTTCGAATCACTCACTCAATTATTAAAGCCTAAGGGCTATCTTACTTCGATTTCGAACAATCATTTACTCGATCATAAAAGTCTATGGGCTAATATATTTTGAGTTCGAGTTCGAAACAATCACTCACTCAATTATCAAAGCCTAAGGGCTATCTTATTTCGAGCTCGAGCAAACACTCACTCGGCCATAAAGGCTATGAAGGCCGAATTCGATGAAATCACCTAAATCCTCATAAAAACATCCGCATGGCATGAATGAAATCTTCACAAAGCAAGTCAGTAAAAGAAAAAGATATTTGTATAGATATAAAAAGATGGTTTACATAAATAAATGCAACATAGAAGAAGCTAAGGGCTAAGATTCTGGGTTATCATCGAGAGCGGTCTCTTCTCCACCGGGCTCCACCCATCTTTGGACCCGCTCTTGCTACCATCATCATCATCATCATCATCATCATCATCATCGCCATCAGAAGCCAAGGCTTCAACATCAGCTTCGAGTTCTTTAGCCCTTTTTATCCCTTCGGCAAAGTCGAAACCTCGAGCGTGTATCTCCTCGAGGGTCTCCCTCTGAGACCGACACTTAGCAAGTTCAGCAACCCAATGTGCTCGAGTATTGACAGTATCCGCTGCCTCTCTTGCCTCCATTTGAGTAGCCTCAGCATCTTCCTGATACACGTCAATGGACTTGTCCTTCATGACTTTCGACGACTCAACCTCTGCCTTGGCCTTAGCAAAGCTTGTTTCAAATTCCTCGATCCTCTTGGCCTGAGCTGAACCTTTTTGCTTGACGCTTCAAAGCTGGACATCGGCCGATAATAATTTGGCCAAGATGGTTTCTTTTTCTGCAGCCAGGCAGTTGATAGTCTCCTTCCACCAATCACATTCGGCCTTGATTTGATCGACTTCTTCCCGAAGCAACCCGATCTTTTCAACCTTTTGCTGCAGCTGAGATAACGAAGGGTTAGCTTCCACAGTTGGATCAAACCCATACTCTAACAGAACGAGGCTCACCTGCTTATCTAGTTTGGCCTCTTCTTCACGAGCCTTAGCCAAATCTGCTTGGAGGTCCTTTATAACCTCGTCCTTTTGGCTGCAAAGAAGCCGCAGAGCATCTCTCTCCCCCGAGATCTTCTGAAGCTCGACCTCATACTGGATGAGGTCGACTCGAAACCTACTAATGGCCTGCACAGTAGGGAAAAAACACAAGTCAAGTTTAGAAAAGAATGAAGAAACCAAGAATAGTAAAATCATTACCCGAGAAATGAAACGTTGGGCCTCTTCTAGGAGAAGAGAAGCATCACTAATATCGGAGGCATCATCGACTCCAATAAAGCAATCTTGAAAAGGGTCCCCGACACTGGAGCCTCCGCCCATATCGGGAGTCTTCAATTCTCGAGCTTCCTTTAATGCCTCCTCAAAAAAAGTCGGAAGAGAAGGCAAATGACCCACTATCATAGTCCCAAGCGAATCGCTCGGGATGCTCTGATCGAGTCTTGGGGTATCGGAACCGACCCCGACCGGTATAGCCGTCATCGGCTCAGAAGGTCTGGTGACCTCGATAGCTTTCGCAGATCGGACCACCAAAGCCGAAGCATCATCATCTTCTTCTTCTTCTCTCAGTCGTTGGGCCGAGTCCGTCGAAAGAGCAATTGCTTTCCTCCTCACACTTCGAGTTTTGGGCTTGGGGTCCTCTGACCGAGAGATAACTTTTTGCTTCTTATCTTTCCCCGGTTCCGGGACCGGGGACTTGGTTCCTTCCTCACCACTCGAAGGCCTCAAAACGTCATCTTTGGTTACACCTGCATGAAAGAAAATCGGTAACGAATGGAGCATAAAAAATATTTCGAAGAACATGAGAAGTGACCTTTACCGTGATTCGTGGCCTCCCATCTACCTTTTGCCGAACGCGCTTGAGGAAGTCGAGGCTAGCTTCCGAACCCAATCCTCGAGGTCGGGTACCGCTTGTGGTATCCAAGGGGCAGCTGTATATCGGAGAAAGATATCAGATAGAATCAGAGAAATATACGAAAAACAACGCCTTATGAAAACCACTTACAGTCTAAATTCCATTCCTCGGGGAACGACATCTTCTCTTCCGGAATGAGGTCATGGGTCCTCACCCGAATATAACGGCCTATCGAACCCCGATCCTTGTCTTCGTCAATGCTCGACATTAAATCTTTCGATGCTCGACGATGAAGCCTGATTAGTTCTCGAAAGATTTGAGGCCGATACAATCGTATGAGGTGATTTAGGGTGAAATCCAGCCCCCCCGGCCTTGTTGGAGAAGAAGCGAAGTAAGGTTACTATGCGTCATAGATAAGGATGAATTTGACCGAGGGTGACCTGATATCTTTTGTAAAAATCAATGATCACTGTGTTGACGGGACCCAACGTGAAGGGGTAAGTATAAACACTTAAATACCCCTCCACATGAGTGATGACGCTCTCTTCGGGAGAGGGAATTTGCAACACAACCTCGGGACCCCAGTTGCAGTCTTTCCTCACAGCCTCGAGATGGCCCTCTGTTATCGAGCACATGTACATCGACACATGCTCACATCGACCCGGAACCGATGAAGGATTTTCAAACTTAAAATCAATCTTCAAAGTACACGGGCTAGGAACATACTCATGGGGAGGCGGCTCCACCTGAGCCTTATTGCCGGACGGCCATGAAGAGGAAGCTTTCTCCTTCTGAGGTATGGTTTTTGAAGTTTTTACCATTGATCTAAGAGAAAGAAAAGCAAAGGAAGATGAAAGGTTGATGGTGCCAAACACTGACGAAGATGGCTCTACAAGCGGCGAAATAGAGGCAGAAAGAGTAACAAAATTTGGGAGATTGAAGATGTAAAAGTGGTAAATGATAAATGGAAGGGTTATTTATAGGTTTATACCGTGGCGTTCAGTATCAGCGGTAGCCGACCATCGTCTGACGTGCATTAAATACCTTGAAAAACTAAATCGACGGGATAGCTATCATATACGTCACGATCGAGCCCAGTGAAAACGTCAGCTTATAATCCGATCGAGCCGTCGAAAATCATATCGCTTCTCACCACATTCTTTCTGAGAAACGAGGGGACTATCTGTATACGGTCGAAATAGATTTTGGCCTCCGTACGTTTGATCGAGTTCAAATGGTAAGCGATCAAAGTGAGAGCTCGAGACGAGTTCTGAAAATAGTACAAATAAGCCTCGAGCTCCAAGACCGATCGAGGAATCGAACCGCAAGGGAACGAGAAGGTTGTCGGAGATGCACATAACGATTGGCACTCACCCTGAATGTCGAACTGGAACTCAAGGTCGAGGGCTCGACCCAATACCGAGCTCGAGCCAGTATCGAGCTCGTAGACAGGAGCCGTTGCAACCGCACTAGGGGAGAGAATCTTGGCAGGAATCGAGGAAGAGACAATTAATCATGGGTTCTCCACTATATATTTTTTTATTATAAATAAAGTAAGATCTTTCTACTATAAAGGGAGAAATCATTGTAAACACAAGAGAGGTTCACACATTGTAACAAAATATTTTCTTCTCATATTGAAAGATATCCTCTTGTGTTTATTTTTCTTTATCTTATTCGTTCTTCTTCTCATTATTCTCATTCTCATAGTGAAGAATACATGTATTTCTATTTCTCTATACGATTTGTATCAAATTATATCACATATCCTTAGAACCATACACAAATTTAACTTTATCCAATTTTTCGGGTAAATAGAAATCAAATTATACTAGTCACGTTTTAACTTTTAAGTACGGTATGAAAATTACTTACCACGAAAAAAGGAAACACATAAGAGATGTTCAACGTTTCGGATCTATATAGTATTCACGTCTTAAATTCAATGTAAACACTACTTACCAAAAGAAAAAAACGAAAATATAAGCGATATTCAAGTTTTAGAATCTAAACATATAATTCACATTTAAAATTTGCTATGAAAATTGCTTAGTAAAGTAAAGGAGAATAATATAAGAGATATTCATGTTTTAAATTTCAAATACATTACTCACGTTTTAACTTTTCTGTGAAAATACTTATCGAGGAAAAAGACAACAGTATAAGATATATTCAAAATTTGGGATCTAAAAGAGAATAAGAATTAATATCTTGATTCTTGACAAAATTATGTTACAAATTTTGGATTTCACATTATACAGACATACATGCATAAATTTTAATTATTATACTATGATAAGCAGTTTTTAACATTTGCAGCTAAAAACTTAGATCTGAATTTGAAAGTAGTCCAAAATAAGCCTTTTAACTAAGGAAAAATTGCAAATGATATAAATAAACTTCTGCAATAGTGCATTAGCAGTTCCATGTTTGGTAATGTTATGAAAATTTCCCATTTTTTGAAGACTTTTCAGAATTTTCCGAATATAAATAGGACGTAGCTTCTGACCCAGATATATAAAAATTGTCTTCAACTTTCTACAGTTCTCTCTCTTTTTCTTAATTCCATAATATTTTTACCACATCAAAAATGGGTAGCCTTTGTGTTAATTTGAGTGACCAAATTCAAGTTGAAATCATTTCCAAGAAGCTTATAAAACCATCCTCTCCAACTCCTAATCACCTTCAAAATTTTAAGTTACCTTTCTTTGACCAAATAGCTGAGAAAACACATATGCCTCTTGTTCTTTCTTATCCACATAACCCAATAAATTCTTCCTACCCCCTTAATCATATGGTACAACAACGTGAAGAATCACTTTCTAGGATTTTGACTCACATTTATCCAGTTGCTGGTAGATTTTCTGAAAGTAAACGTTCAATCAATTGTCAAGATCAAGGTATAACATTCATAAAAGCCAACGTCAGTTGTCAAATGGATGATTTTCTCCAACAAACACGTACTAATTTCGACCTTCCATTGCATTTTTGGCCACAAGGAATTAAGGATGTTGACGCGACTAATTTGTTCACCATACCACTTATGGTTGTGCAAATTACAATATTTCAATGTGGTGGATTCGTGTTATCTATGAGTACTGCATGCCAAAATCCATGGGAGCTGAGACGGAAATCAGCCATTGGAGCTCCTTAGGAGCTTCTGTGGAAGAAGAGAAGTGAATGCAGTATATGAAATGAAACCGTCTACTATTCCATTAATTTTCCAATGTATTTATATAACTACTAACTCACACTAATCTACAACTAACTACTAATAATTAAATACAGTTGTCAACCTTTAACTGCCTAACTACTAACCACTAACTACCACGTGCATCACATGCAAAATATACTGATCCTCTTCACTATATACATTGTTATCTCTCAACACTCCCCCTCAAGCTGGAGGGTGTAGGACATTATGAACCCCCAGCTTGCTAAGTAAATGAACATGCTGAACTTGGCCTAAGCCCTTGGTCAGAAGATCTGCAAGTTGTTCTGTAGTATGTACTTACGAAGTCCTCACTACCCCTGCCTTGATTTTGTCTCTAATGAAGTGACAGTCTATATCTATATGTTTCGTTCTCTCGTGGAAGTTGGGGTTAGCTGCAATCTGCATAGCAGCCTTATTATCACTAAACACAGTCATTAGACTATATATGCTAACTCCCAGCTCCTTAAACAGTCCATGCAACAAAGTTAATTCTGCCACAGCTGAAGCCATGCTTCTATACTCTGCCTCAGCTGAACTTGTAGAGACTGTTTGTTGTTTCTTTGATTTCCATGAGATCAAGGATTCTCCAAACTTGACTATGTATCATGTCACTGATCTTCTTATATTTGGACATGCTTCCCAATCAGAATCACACCAACATGTCAACTCTTGTGTGATTCATGCCCTCAACCAAATACCTTGTCCTGGTGAACTCTTCAAGTACCTTACTAGCCTTGTTGCAGCATCCCAGTGGGACTTCTTGGGCATTTGCATAAACTGACTCAAGGTCTGAACTGCATAGTTGATGTCAGGCCTTGTGACAGTTACATACATCAGCCTCCTTATCAATCTTTGGTATGAACTGGTGTCCTGTAAGGTTGTATCTCCTGTGATTCCTGTCATTTTATCATACTCTACAGTCGTTAGCTTCAAATTGGACTCTAAAGGTGTCTTGGCTGGTCTTGCTGCAGATAGTCCCATATCAGAGATCAACTCCAGCACATACTTCCTTTGGTTGAGAATCATGAGCTTGACCTTAGCACTTCTATGCCAAGAAAGTACTTCAATTCACCAAGATCTTGCATTTTGAATTTCTGATTCAACACTCTCTTTGATTCATTAATCAACTCAATACTGCTCCCTATGATGAGTAAATCATCAACATACACTAAAACAATCACTATGCCATCAGACTTGTTTAGTGTGAACAATGAATAGTCATGGCTTCTTTGGACAAATCCTGCATCCACCAATGCATTTGTCAACTTTATGTTCCACTGCCTAGATGCTTGCTTTAGTCCATATAAGGACTAGAGCAACCTACACACCCTTGACCCCCCCTGTCTTCTAAACCCCTCAGGCATATCCATATAAACTTCCTCACATAGGTCTCCTTGTAAGAAGGCATTGTACACATCCATTTGCCATAAAGTCCAGCCTTTAGAAACTGCAAGTGCTGTGACTGACCTTACTATCACCATTTTAACAACAGGTGATAAAGTATCATGATAATCAAGGCCTTCCTTTTGACTGTAGCCATTTGCTATAAGTCTGGACTTGAACCTCTCAACCTCTCCATTGGCTTAGTATTTGATTTTGTACACTATTTTGAGCCTATTGCATTTTTTCCTTTTGGAAGGTCCACCACTTCCCATGGGCCATTCTCTTCCACTGCTTTGATCTCCTGCTTCATTGCCTCTATCCACTTAGTATCTTTTGCAGCATCTCTGTAGTACTTAGGCTCTACTAATGCAGAGAATTTTGCAAGATAGGCTTGATATGTTAGCTTAATGTTATCATAGGATAGGTTATTGGAGATGGGATGTTTACTGGTGCTTTGTTTGGTGGTTATGTAATCCTTCATCCAAACAGGCTGCTTGGAATCTCTTGAAGACTTCCTGGTGACTAGAGCATGAACTCCATCTGATGGAATATGACAAGCATCCAAAGATGTTGATGCCTCATTGAAGTCATCTCCCCCTTCATGCTCCAGAGCAAGGGAAGGAGTTAATTCCAGGTCAAATGAATAAGAATCAAGGGCAGTGGAAGGGGATGAAGTATCATTGATGTTGGAGGTGGCTAGTGAATGGTGTGGTATGTCATGAGATACATGTGGGGAGTTTGGTGTGGTAGGATTTTGTAGTGAGTTTGGTCGTGTGTTATGGGTGGTATCTGGTAGGATTTGTGATAAATCATGAGGTTGGTCAAGAAGTGAGGATTGGTCTAGGTTGGTAATTTTGGATGTAGACTGTTTCTTTGAGTATGCAATGGCAAAAAGAAATTCATCTTCTCTGAAAGTGACATCTCTGCTGACAAACAACTGGTTTGTTTTGAGATCCAGGGGGATATAGCCTTTCTGCAACTCTGAGTATCCCATAAGAGCAGTTGGCTTTGCTCTTTCTGCAAACTTGTCTCCTTTAGGAACTGTAGTTTCAAAACACAGACATCCAAACACCCTTAAGTGATGTAGTGTAGCCTGCCTTTTGAACAATAACTCATAAGGACTTTTATTGCCAATTACAACATAATGAAGCATGTTCATAAGGTAAACTGAAGTCCTGATACACATGCCCCAATATCTGATAGGCACTTTGGATTAAAATCTGAGTGCCCTAGCTATATTCAAGATGTGCCTATATTTTCTTTCAACCACCCCATTCTGTTGGGGTGTGTGAACACAACTACTTTGATGAAGTATGCCTAAATCCTGAAGTAAAGTGTTGCATTGTAAGTTAAAAAACTCAGTGCCATTGTCTGTCCTAAGAACCTTAACCATGACACCAAACTGTGTTTGTACCATGGACAAGAAAGACTTAATGGCCACAATAGCTTCAGACTTAAGTTGCAACAAATAGATCCATGTATACCTACTGTGATCATCCACAATAGTCAAAAAATAATGTTTGTTGTCAAAAGTAGCAGTTTTTATAGGGGACCCAAAGATCCATATGTACAATATAAAATGGTGCATCAACTAGAATCACTACTGGAAAACATCAATCTAGCTTGCTTTGCCAAAGGGCAAATCATGCACTAATTCAATTGTGAATTATTTACATGATCATGTAACAACTTCATAGTCTTCATCACTGGTGCAGATGGATGGCCAAGCCTGTCATGCCATAAGCTATTGTCTTTTTTATGAACTGTTGCTGTTATTGGATGTTGTGTGCCCTGCTTACCAATGTCTGCATCTTTGTATATATAAAAATCTCCTATTTGCCTACCAATCCCCTTCACCCTGCCATTCCAAAGCTTCTGAAAGACACAGAAGCCAGGGAAACAATTGATGATACTGATAGCAAGTTAAACTTGCAATCAGGGATAACGAACACATTGTTCACAGTTGTGTTGCCAAACAAGGATGCACAGCCAGTATGAGTGATATCTGCCCTAACTCCTGTGGGTAAATGTACTTTACCATTACCAGATATTTGTTGACTATGATCACTATTTATCAGACTTTTCTTAGAAGCCACATGATGAGTAGCTCTAGAATCAACTATCCATTCATCATCACTTGATACCTTAGACATCATACAAATTTCATTACCTGCTACATTGATGTGGTTTTCCTCATTGCCTTGCTCTTTTCCAACATCCTTGCTTAGCAAATTCAGGATCTATTTATATTGTTCTTCAGTAAAATACTAAGCCTTGACTTCAGTTGGTCCTGAGTTTCTATAATGCATCTGTGATGGTTGCATGTCAACATTTTCAGTCACATTGTTGATAGCATTGAAGGGTTGTTTACCATATCCAGTCTGTCCACCATGGTTAATTTGTCTTCCAGGTCCTCCAAAACTAGACTTTAAATTCCTCTTAGACTTAAAATCAGGAGGGTACCCAACCAATTTATAAATATTTTCCTTGTTATGGCCTTTCATATTGCAGTACTCACACTACAAAAAAGGTCTCTTACCTTTATAAGACTGTCAACGAGTCAAATGCATAGCTAAAAGATCTGTGTTTGCAGTGACTGCATTTAGACCAACTAAGTGTTGACTCTCATCTTCAATTATCATAGCATAGGCTTGGTTAATTGTAGGACAGGTTGATTTCAACAGAATCTGTCTCCTAGCTTGGTCATACAAGTCATTTAATCCACTTAGAAACTGTAATAACCTCTGCTGGTGAAAGTGTCGACTGATTCCTTAGATTTTGCACAGTCACAACCAAGAGAAGGTACATGATATCATATTTAGCCCAGAGGTCCTTCAATTTGGTAAAATATACTGAAACAAAGTTCGTACCTTGTGAGTGATTGGATATTTGATGGTGTACTTAAAAAATTCTCATGCGATTGACCTTGTGAAATTGCTCATTGAGGTCCTTCCACACGATGTAGGAATCTGAGGCATACACGATTCCGCTGAGTAGATCTTCAGAAACTGTGTTGATGATCCATGGAAGGACTGTTGCATTGCATATTTCCCACTGCTCGTGCAACTCATCATCAAACAATTCCTTCTTATAGGTACCTAGAACGAACCCTAGCTTCCTCTTAGCTTGGAGAGCAAGTCTCATCGATCTACTCCACAAACCATAATTTTCCAATCCGGTGAGCTTGATAGGTACAAGCACTGAACCAGGAGTGTCATTCGAGTTCATGAACAGAGGATGCATGTATGTGAGTTTTTCTGCCGCCATAGCAGGAAACAAGCTCGAAGACATTGAGATTTACAGAGTACCTTGGGTAATTAGCTTGGAAAATAGGTAAAATACCAGAATCGGTTGCTCTGATATCATGCTAAAATCCATAGGAGCTGAGACGGAAATCAATCATTGGAGCTCCTTAGGAGCTTCTGTGGAAGAAGTGAAGTGAATGCAGTATATGAAATGAAACCGTCTACTGTTCCATTAATTTTCCAATGTATTTATACAACTACTAACTCACACTAATCTACAACTAACTACTAACAATTAAATACAACTGTCAACCTTTAATTGCCTAACTATTAACCACTAACTACCACGTGCATCACATGTAAAATATACTGCTCCTCTTCATTGTGTACATTGGTATCTCTCAACACTGCTCACCCTGCTATCGATGGATGGATAAGTTTTACGTTCATTTACGAGTGGTCAAAAGTGTGTAAATTAGGAATTCCAGCTGAAAATATTAATTTCATGAGCTTTAATTTGGTTAACATTTTTGGACCAAGAGATATATCCAAGATGTTTAAGCCTTCTGCTATTTTCCTAGACACTAAATTGGTGGCCAAAAGGTTTGTTATAGATGAAGTCTCTTTATTAAAACTCAGAGACAAATTAACAAATTGTAACAATTCAGGTGTTTTAAGTTTTAAACCTTCATGAGTTGAGATGATCACAGCAATTTTATGGAGGGCTTTGCTTCGCGCTTCACAGGCAATATCAGGGAAATGGAAGCCGTCATTAATGTCATTTCCATTGAATTTACGCTGTAAGCTTAAATATCCTGAAGTAAATAACCCTTTGGGGAATTTCATAATTGAAATTCCAATAACATTTGAACCAAAAGTGAGCAATATGGAGTTACAAGACTTCATAATATTGATTAGAGAGACGGTGCAGAAAATTATTAATTATTGTGACGTAGCTTCAGCTAACGATGTTGTTGAAATGATGGCTAATTTATATAACAAAAGTTATGGAGGTCGAGAATGGGGAGCTAACGATGAATTTACGTGCTCGAGTTTGTGCAGATTTCATATGCAAGAAGCAGATTTTGGATGGGGGAATCCAAGTTTAATGCATTTTGGATCAAGACATAATCAAGTGCTTTGGTTGTATTCTACACAATGTGGCACTAGTCTTGCTGTGCAAATGGATCTAAAGGAAAATTACATGGACTTCATTGAACATGACCAAGATTTCCTTGCTTTTATCAAGATTTAGGCTTTTGTTAGAGCTTCTATGAGTGATTTGTTGATCCAAGAGGACGTGAATTTGGTTCTTAATAAAAAAGTTTATTTTCGTCAATTATTTTGTGGGTTACGGTTGAGGGTTAGTAGGCAGTGGAGCGATTTATCTTTCCGTGGGAGAACTTGGTTATAGTTTAGAGCACCTTATTTGCTCAACCTTGTGCTTGTGAGTATCATTATTATTACCCTATTACTGTCTTATTCTTCAAATTTATTATTGTTGTTTCTTTTATTTGGGTATCTTTACTACTTTTTCTTTTCTTTCTACGGNACTTTTTCTTTTCTTTCTACAGTATTTTCACCACAACTTTTTACTCGTATTTTTTTTCTTCTTTTTTTTAAACCATTTTTGAAAACGCTTTTCTTGAGGGAGGGTCTGTTGAAAACAATTATCTTATGAAATCTTTTTAATATTGTTCGGCCAAAGAGGTATTGAGATGAAAAAAGAAGTGTATAAAATTAAAATAAGTTGTTAGGAGGTTACGAGTATTCCAGTTCTTATTCCAAAAATCAAATCCTATATCACGTACAAAGATTAAGATCTCCTGACCAGCTTACAAAGACACCATAGCAGTAGTATATAACTTTGGACCTAAAACCCCTTAGTCTACTAAGAACAAGCTATTGTACTTTGTCGTTTGCACACAAAATAAATAGATAGTACAAAAGGTTTCAATCAATAAAACCCCAATTTTATTTTTTATTTTTGTTTTTAGGAATTGATATTCGAAATTCAATGCCCCGAACTCTTATAAGAACCCAAAACTTAAAGAAAGACTTGATATCATTGTCACATTCAAATAAGTGCATGTTATTTTCCTTCAAATCCACCTGCACACAAATCCCATTGCCACATTCTGCATCATACAACCAACAATACTGATTATGTCTTGATCCAAAATGCATTAAACATGGTTTTCCCCAACCAAAATCAGCTTCTTGTATAGGAAACCTACACAAACTTGAACTTGTGAACATGTCAACTTCATTATTTCCTCCCCATTCTTGCGCTACGAAACTCTCATTATATATTTTTGCCAGTGCAGAAACTACATCGTCTGGTGAGTTTTTGTCACAAGCAGTAATTGTTTTCATCACAGTATCCCTTATCAATCTTACAAAGTTGTGCAACTCCATGTTGGTGATCTCCTCAGGTACAAATTTTACCGGAGCATCAATTACAAGATTTCCAAAAGATTTTGCTATTTGGGGTAAAGAGATCAGCTTAGTACGTAAGTTTATTGGAATGCCCATTATAGAACGTCTCAAATGCCCGTGTTGTTTCTCTGAAGCGCGGATTAAAGCTCTCCATAAGAGAGCTATGATCATTTCAACTTTTGAGGGCTTAAAGCATAAAGCTCCAGAATCCGTTGATTTTGTTAATTCTTCTCTGAGCCTTGAAATAGAATCTTGGTTGATGTATAACTTCTTGGCAACTAGTTTTGAGTCTATACGATTTTCCTGGGGGACACGAGGCAAGAGAACTTTCGATACATCTCTTGGTGGGAAAATCTTAGCCAAATTAAAGCTCAAAAAGTTGATTTTCTCCGAAGGAATCCCCAATTTGTACACTTTTGACCACTCGTGAACGAAAGTGAAAGTTGTGAAACCATCCATCGCGGTATGTGCATGGCTAATAGATAGAGCCATGCCACCGCAATTGAATTTTGTGACTTGCACAATGCTAATTGGTGTAATGAACAAATTAGTTTCATCAACATCCCAAGTATCTTGAGGCCAACAAGATAAGGCAAGATTGACATCTTTGTGTGCTTTCTCAAGAAAGTCATTGAGCTTACAATTTACCTTGGATTTAACAAATTTACCCTTGATCGACCCAGTAAATCAAGGAGTTATCCTCAGTAAATCTATCAACAACTGGGTAAATATGAGTTAAAATTCTAGATAAAGATTGCTCGAGCTGATCTTCAGTTGTACTATTATTGTTGGTGGTATTGTTGCTAGGAGGATAGAAAAGAACAAGAGGTAAATGTGGCTCATCGGCTATTTGATCAAAGAAAGATAGTTTGAAATTTTGAAAGTGATTTGGAGTTGGTGAAGTTGGTTTTATCAACTTTGTTGACAAGATTTCAACTTCCATGGTTTCCTTTTGGAAAATCATAGTATATAAATGTGGTGATAATGGAAAAAGGGAAAACAAATTAAAGAACCGAAGAAGTTAGAGGTACTTGGATAATATGTCATCAGCATCTCGTGCCTTCCCCTTTATATAGGGAAAGTTATGGTTCTACCAACCCTAGCAGAGCCACGAATTTACGGAAAGGGATTTCAAAAAATAATTAATATGCATGTGAACAATCTTACTTGAAAAAGTAACATAGGTACGCCATTAATTAAAAGTAACATATGTACGCTTTTTACCGGCTTGTGTCGCCCGGTTAAAAAGTCACCAGTATTTAGTGATTACTCCTAATCATACTATTTTGCTATTGTTTAGTTAAAAATCAATGTGTTGGAAAGATATAAACACCACTGAGGTTGGATTGCAGAAACGTTTTCAATGTTCTTTAAATGAAGTGTCTTTTGAGTTTTTTTTTTTTCCATTTGGTGTCCGTACCCATATTGGAGCCCGATTAAATTCGGATTCGCATCGGAAAGTCCCACATTGGGAGGTAAAGCGCTCCCTAATAAAAGCGACTCCATATCCAGGGATTCGAACCCGAGACCTTTGGTTAAAGATGAACGAGTATTTATCACTCCACCACAATTGTAGTTGGTAGTATCTGTTGAGTTGTATTGTTGGACTTGCATTATTAAGGTCATTTCAAATGACGTGCCGACTTTAGGCTATTATACAACTATAACCACACAAAACCTATCAACGTAACAGCAAGACTTGGTTTTTAGTGAGATTTTGTCTTTTAACTTGGTTGTATTTTTGTAAATGTACAAGAAATAACACGTGAATATACGAAAATCCGAATTCAAGTTAATTCTATTCGATATGAAAAAACGACATCACAATATTAATGACCACATGTTAGCTGTTAGCCTGTCGCAAAACTCATGTGATCTAGTTTAGTACTAATGTAGAAAGAAAAAGACTCGAGTTGTGCACCACCAATTATCCTACTGGCAAATTAAATCATATTATATGCTCATTTTATTTGGCACTATTTTTTTATTAGTTAGGTTAAAAAGAATGATAAATTTTTAGATTTCGTTAATGAGAAATTTTTATGTATAAATTCACAAATTTCGGATATCTTATAGCCACAAATTACTATGATTGTTTAAGACCATAGAATTTAAAAATCTTTATTTCTTTTTTAATGCTGAATCAAAATATGCTAAAATAATTGAACCAAAGGTAGTAACAATGATGTATAGGAGTAGAGGTGTGCAGTTGTTCAACTCAATTATTGTCCTTACAAATTAAAAGACATATGTAGTATTGCCATAAATAACGGTTTCAGAACTCATTGATATCAACCAATGTTTTAAAAGGCACTTGAATCCTAGATTTACCACGCACACGAGTTGAAATGCTTACCTAGAATAAGGAGGCTTAAGTACTACTGTGAATCTTTAATTACAAACGTATAAATTTGCAAATATAGTATAAAAAGAAAACTTATGAAAAATACGTTAAAATCATAAACTTTAAAAGTAAAATAAAATGTTTAAATATTAAAATAAATTGTATAAACTCTAACATAACTATGAACATTGCAAGGTTAATATCAGGACTCCAATTTTGAGTTGCAAGGTTCTCAAATTCTTATTTGTGGTCAAGAAAGAGGGTTTTAAATATAGTCCAGGGTTAATTAAGTAATTTTGAGAATCTGCATCGCTAATTACATACAATTGCCTAGAAACTAAAGGTGTCAAACGGGCTAGGTTGACACACGTCAGGACAGGCCCAGATCGGTTCTAGACCGGACCAGACCGAACCGGTAGGTAGGGGGCTGGGCAGGGCTGGGTTGGGACGGGGAACAGATTGTGTCGGGTAGGATAGAAGTACCGGTTAACCGAACCGGTCAGAACCGGTACTGTCAAGTCAAGTTCGAACCGGTTAACTGAACCAGAACGGCCCGGACCGGTTCAACAATTTCTTTTTAGGGTATAGTTGAGCGCTGGCAAGGGTCAGCTGCCATTTTGACCATTGCCCAACAACTATTTTGCAAGAATAGCCCCTTTTGGGCATTTATTTTTAAAAATAATACTTTTAGTATTTACTAATTTAGCCCTTTAAAAAACTATAAGTATACCCTCCCCCCACCCCCTCTTCTTTATTTCTTCACTCGTCTCTCAATTCTCAAACCCAAATTCTCAATTGTCATTCTCTCATTCTTCACCTAAATTGCAATGAACTATTTGGCTCTTATCATTTTTGGAATTTTATTTATGGTATTATTTGAAGTTTGAACTTTGAACAATTGACGTTTCTTCGTGATAACATCGGAGTTGCGAAATTCAATTTTAAGACGTCAAAAATTATTAAGTGTTCAATTTATTGCGAAATTCTGTGCACTCGTTCCAACTCTTTCTCTTATTTAATATTTTATTTGCATATTTAATTTTTATTAGTAGTTATATTTTCACAATATGTTTAATGCTGCAAAAAAAGTTTTGTAATAAGGTTGATAATAAGGGTAATTGAGGAAATAGAAAAAGATGTACTACTTCAACTTCTAGTAGTAATTTAAATGACTTTACACATGTTTCTAAACATTACCAGATAATAATATAGATTATGAACAATTACAGAAAAATTTCAGTATAGAAGATAATGAATTAGAAATTGAAGATGAGACACCACTTATACCTAATAGTGTTGGAGTGGTGGTCGTGGCACTAGTAGTAGACCACCTGTGGCCCCGACTAGTAATCGGAGAAGGAGAAGTAAAGTTTGAAAATATTTTGAGGAAATAAAGAATAGTGATAGAGTTAGATGCAAAATTTATATATATTACTGGAGGACTTATGAAATATGATAAAATAAAGTATCGT